GCACTGGATGGATGCCCACCAAAGCTGCTCCACCCTCCCACAGGAGACAGTCCTGGGGTTCCTTCCATGGGAGACAGTCCTTCATGAACTTCCCAGTGTGGGTCCTTCCCACAGGCTGCAGTTCTCCAGTATCTGCTCCACTATGGATTCCTACCACAGGGTCACTTCTTCAGGATTAGGCTGCTCCAGTGTGGGTGTCCCAGGGAGTCACAAGTCCTGCTGCAGAGGCACAGCTGCCTCACCATGGGCTGCACCACGGGCACCTGCAGCACCTCCTCATCCTCCTCCTTCACTGACCTTGGTATCTGCACGGCTCTTCCTCTCACATATTCTCACTCCTCTCTGTGGTTGCCGTTTCCTTTTTGCAGGTATTTTTATCCATGGATAGAGCAGGATGTGGATAGAGCAGGATGTGGATAGAGTGGGACCAGCCCCATGGGACAGAGCGGGAACAGCCTTAACAACTTGTCCGTTAACAAGCTGTGAAAGGAGACAGACAGCCAGGCAGCCTGTCCCTGGAATGAAGGACACCTTCCTTCCCTGAGCACCTCAGCAGGAATGACTCCAGCTGCAAAGCCTTTCTCTCTCCCTTCTCCCAGCTCATGCATGCTGAGTTACCTGACACTGCATTGGACCTGGGGCTGCAAAGAGAGCTGCTGAGGCACCTGCACCATGCAGATCTGCTCCCTGCATCCCATCAATCCAGCATTGCTCACGTGTGCATCAGCAGAAAAGGTGATCCTGTGAAGCAGGTCCTTTTGGGAAAGGCTCGGGAAAGCACAGAACAGAGCTACGAGCAGCACCTGAAGGGTAGCAACCTGAGTCAGAGATGCCAAACCCTCCCTTGCCCCACACAGCCCCCCTGAGCCTTCCCACACTCTGTTCTTTGCCCCTTGTTTTGGGGGGCAACAGTTTGGGGGATGGTGTGCCCCCATCCCCACTGCCGGGGCTGGTACCAGTTCACCTCAAGGTTTCTCTTGGCTTTGAGCCCCTGTGCTGCCCCACAAATGAAGGGTCGTGGCCGGGTACTGCCCATGGCCCCAGACTCCACACCGGTGTGGTTCATCCTGGTGTTCCCCACTCAAGCCCTGATGGGGTCAGGGGGCTGGGTGCTGTCAGGGTGCCAGTGTCTCCCTACACATCCAGTGGGTCACTCCCCGTAGAGCTGTGGGTCCCTGGGGCCAGAGCAGGGACTGACACATCCCCCTCTTACAGAGCACCCTGTCCCTGGCAAACCAAGTGGTTAAAGGCACAAAACTCTCAGCACTGAATTCAGCAATTTCATACCCCTGACAAGAGTGTAAATCCACCCTGATGGACTGGAAAATTGGAAAGCCAGTGCTCACGCAGTGTTTCCTATAGACATCTCTGAGCTCCTGAAAGATGCACTCGGTGGCAGGCCCCAGTTCCAGCCGTGTCGCTCTCGTCATGCTAATTAAAATAGAGCCTGTGTTTTGTAACAGGATTTCCTTGGAGTGTATTTTACTGTTCAGTAACTGCTTTCAAATATTTGAAAAATAAAATCGCATCAAGTAAATAACTTTCGGATTGCCACAGAAGGTTAGTCTGGTTTGGGTTTTTTTTTGTTCCCAAAGCCCACTGGAAGCAGCTGCACTCATCGCAGTGACAAAGGATGGAAAATACGTGGATTTCTGAGGTTGCTTGTAGTCTAAATCAAAAGCTGTGTCTTATTTAATCATACAAAGCCTATTTCTTTTTAAAAAACACAACTGTTTGTACAGAATGGGATAACAAAGCACCCCAGTGCTTGGCACTGACCACGGAATATCCCTGCCTGCTGGCAGGATGGGCCATACTCACACCTGCTGATTTTGATGCACACGTTACCTGTCCAGCAATGCCCTGACACCCCTCTGCCTCATCTGTGACTTACTATCCATTAGCTTCCAAACCCAGCACAACCTGACTTCCAAGGGCTGGATCACACACTGATTTGTTCTGCATTTCCCTTTTTACATGGTTTGCTTTTCCAAGACCTCTGCCTGGTATTCTGGATGCCAAGCGAGCACACTCAGCTGAATTGGTGCAGCCTGCCTCCTCAGCCCCAAATCCTGGTGCAGATTCCTCAGGGACGAAGTTAAAAATGCACAGAAGGAAACGTCTGTGACACTGTGACATCCGGAAAACTACACTTAAAATGGCATCTTTGTATATTCATAATGGCAAGAAATACGGGAGAAGCAGAAGGCTAAGAGGGACTAATTTCATTTGCTCCTGGTCCAGGCTCTCCCTGTCCTTTCTGCCAAGGAGGAGGGAAGGAAGAGGAGCCATTTGCCATGGCCTCTGATAGCTCTCCATCAGACAAGCCCCATTCCCGTTATCTCTGGCCGCACAGCCCGCGGGCAGCCTGGCTCTGTGCCGTTATCTCGTTGCTCGGGGTGCTGCCGCGAGAGCTCACCGTGCACTTGTTGCAGCCCTTGCCGAGTTCACGCTCGGTTTTTCTTCCTGCTGGACACACCTGATTCTCTGGAAACAGCCTCCCGTGGTGCTGCGTTCACCACAGAGCCAAAGGAATCTCAATGCCTTGCTATTGCACTGTGACAGCCGGCCTGGGGGTGCCCGAACCCCTCGGAGAAGGGAGGGCGCAGACCACGGGGCTGCAGAGGACCCCAAAGCTCAACACCCCCGGCTGCATTTCTGCTCTCGGCACCGCAGCCTCGGGCAGGGTTTGCTGGTCTCATCACAGCCTCTAGTGGACACCCTAAACGGGGTATATTTAAAAATCCTAGATCTCCCAGGAGTCTGACTATGCCCCTGCCATCCCCAGTGACCAGACTTTGCCAGGGGTCGGTCCTAGCCTGATCCTGCGTGGGCAGCACAGGCAGCATCGCCCTCTCTGCCCACAGCTGCCCACACACCCCGTGTTTGCCCTCTTCATAATTTCACGGTGCTAAACAAATACCCCCGCTGGTGACCGTGCTCCCTGCATGCCACTGCTCCCTGCACGCCGCTGCCCGGGGCCTCCTGGCACAAGTCCCTGCGGAGGGACGTGCCTGTGCTGCCTGTTCCGCTCTGTGCCGGTGGGTGGGTGCGAGCGGATGCCGAGAGGAGAGGAGAGGCTTTCACACCTCCTCTCTGGTGATCTAAATGGCTTCACCAGTGCAGAGCACCAAAAGCCACCAGCCGAGCACCCAATGGGTGCAAGTCATGTGAAAGTGGTTGATTCTTGAAAGCATGAACTGAAAGAGCAGCAGATGGAGCACAGCAATCTGACTCTGCAGGGTCTGAGCCTGCTCCAACCCCCCCGCCCCAAGCTGGAGAATAGCATGGTTTGCTGGTCTGGGCCCTGACTGTGTCCCCCTCCACACAGATCAACAACCCTCCCAGGCACGGGCAGAGCTGCCACGTCGCTGCTGGCTCCAGGCTGCGTAGGCAGGAGTTGGGCTTTTACAGCAATAATTCACCAAACCTTGTAAAGGGTCAACAATTTATCAGTTCCCTCTCTGCCAAGGAAAGAGGACTTCAGCACGCTGTGTTCTCCTACCCTGAGATTTATGGCAAATCATGCCAAATCCTGTTCCCAGGGAGCTGGGCTGCCTGCTGATGCTCCCAGTGGGACTTAGGCAGCCCTCCTGCCTCCAGCACATGAGGCAGTGTGGGAACTGTGAGTCCCACACTGGGCCTATGCTTCCTGGATTTCCTTCCCAGCCCACCCCGACCCCCTGGGAGCTCAGGGATCATCACTGCACTCACACAACCCACCAGCAGCCTGAAACAGTGTCTGTGCAACCAGAGGAGCGTGCCTCTCGGTGCCCCCATGCTGGAACAGGATACCAGGACCGGCAGGGACTTTGGATCTGATTCTTCCACACATACATGCACGTCCATACGCAGAACACAAATACATGCAGGTGAGAGAGAAATACCACCCTCTATGCCCATTTTTGTTTTGCTGCCCAGAAAGGATGGATTCTGTAATATAAACCCTGTCTAGAGAGCTGTGTTTAAAGCCAAAAAGTCAAAGTCATTCAGTACAATCTGAACACGAGAACAGGGACCAAAGAGGGCAGGCAGCATTGCACAGCACTCCTGACACCAGAAGCTGGTCGTCCTTGCTGTAAACCCCCCATCAGCCCCGGAGGGCAGCCTTGGGCCCCGCACACACTGCAGCACTGGCAGACACCAGCCTCTCCCATTCTCCCGCTGAACAATCTGCTCTGGTAACCCCATCCGGACACACACTCAAGCCAGGTTGCCTCATCCCAGCACCCCACCAGTGCCGAGGGACCGGATACAGGCATCACTTTTGTCATGTTAAAGCCCCACGCGAGTTTGTGATGACTTTGCCAAGTCACCCGCGAGCGCATCCCGGAGCCTATTCTTAGGTCTGTCATCGCGGCAGTGGGAGCGGGTCTGCGTGGAAACGTGACACATGCGGAATGAACAGGCAGCCCCTGGATAAACACACCCCCTCACGGCCACCCCCCCGCATACCCGGGATAGGAGGGATAGGAACACCGGTGGGGACCTGGTAGTGGGGGCTGGAGAGACCCCGGGGGCTGGGGACACACAGAGGACTGGGGACACATCGGGCTTGCCTCCCTGCGGGAGGTAAGCGGAGGGTCCGGCACGGCTCCCGGGAGGCCGCGGCCCCTTTGGCTCTCGGTTCTCCCGATAGGACGCGGTTCCCGGAGCGTCCCCGCTCGGTCCGGGCGGCGGGAGCTGTCCGCCCCGCGGTGCTGAGCCTCCGCGTCCCGCCGGGCCCCGCGCCCGCTGCCGCTCCGGTGCCGCTACCGCTGCCGCTGCGCTCCCCAGCAATGCCAGAAGTTTCACCCCGGCCCGGGGAGCAGCAGAAGCTAGGGGTCCCGGTCTGGCGTGCCACGGCCAGTTCCAGCAGCCCCTCCCGGTCCGAATCCCCGCTCCCCGTCCCGGCTGCATCCCCCTGCCCCGGGCGGTGCCCCCTCCCCGGAGCCGGGAGACGCCGGGCCCCGGGGAGCCCCGCAGCCCCGGCCCGCTCCGCCCCGCTCCGCCCCGCTTACCTGGGCGCGGGGCCGCGGGGGTGCCGAGCAGCAGCAGGGCGAGCAGGCAGAGCCCGCGGGGCCCCGGCATCCTGCGGCGGGCGCGGCGGAGCCTCCGCGCCGGGGCGAGCTGGGCGAGCCGAGTAGAGCTGAGCCGAGCCGAGCCGAGCTGAACGGAGCGGGGCCGCGTCAAGCCGAGCCGAGCCGAGCCGCGCCGCGCCGAGCGGGGCCGGGCCGGGGCGGGGGCGGGCGCTGCCGCCGGAGCGGAGCCGGCGCGGGGGCGCGGGCGCGGCGGAGGGCGGACCGGAGCGGAGCGGCGCGGAGAGGAGCGGAGCGGAGCGGGCGGGGAGGGCGCCGGCAGCCGCCCCGGCCCCCGCGCAGCGCCGAGCGCTCCGGCCCCGCCCGCGGGCCCCCCCTCCCCGCCTCTCGCCCCAGCCCCACCGACCCGCTGTGCTTCCCGGGGACGGTTCCCAACAGCATCCTCCGGCCCACGGTTCCCCCGTGGTTTCCTGCGTGCCCCCCTGCTCCCCACTGGTTCCAAGAGCCCCAGTGTCCCCCCAGTCTGGGCAGTGCTCCCTATTACAGGCTCCCGCTCAACCTGTGCTCAGTCTCTTGTATGGTTTCACTGCCCATTGTCCCCAAGCCCCTCATAGCATCTCAAGTCCCTCTCAGCATCCCAGCTCTGCTCAGCACCCAAAGCTCCGCTCAGCACCCAAAGCTCCTCTCACCTCCCTGCTCAAGCCAAGATGTACCCCCATTCCCTGCCCTCTGGCTCCCCAAAAGCAGGTCTATCAGTAGGGCAGGGGTGCTGTGGGAAGGCTGATACAGGTCCCATGGCCCCCTTGCAGGGGATGCACTGAGGTCCTGCTGCCGGAGCCAGCAAAGGCTAGCTTGGAGAGAGTTGCACCTGCATGGCCTCAGTGGGGCAGGGGCTCTAGACATACAAGAGCTCACAGTTTGTGGGTGCTGCTCAGGGTCCCTCTAATGTGGGACTGGCACTGTGGCCGTGGGAGAGCACTGGAGTATCCTCAGTCCTGTGGCAAAAGAAGCAACACAGAGACAGTTCCTGCTCAGCACCTGGCCCTGAAGCTCCACAACCTCTTTGCCTACAGGGGGACCGTGGACTTGACCATGGGGCCCTCTGCCCATTCTGGTCCTGCCTGTTCTCCTGCCCAGGCCACCAGCAGCTGCTGTGAGCCCAGGGCTCCCAGCAGGCCCCTCCTGAGCCCGTCAGAGCACACGGTGTAATTGCACTGACTTTGATAAGAACAGGAACGGAGGGTTCATTCTCTTGAAATTCCAAATCCTGCCCTGAAATGTTTGCTGTAAATCACCTCCCAGTGAGAGCTGCCTGGTCCTCCCGGCCGCTCTGCCTGTCAAGTCAAATAGCCAGGACAATGTCACAAAGCACAACACGAGTGTCAAACAGCACGAGACAGAGCACAGTCTCTCCCCCAAACAGCCACTTTGTTGATGATGCCACCTGAGAAGTCCCCGCTACCTCTGGGAGAACAATTACACTGATCCTGTTACCTCAGCAACAACCATCACACACTGGTGTCACTACCAATGCCACCACGCAGAACACATCAAGTCAAGGAACTGTCCAAACATAGGCATTGATCCTGCTGCCGTTTTCCCTTCTGGGCTTTGCTGAGCTTCTTCCTCCAGTGACACTGCTGGGAGTGGAGGCAGCAGCCTGGGGATGCTGGGGAGCGGGTAGAGGGTCATTTGCATTCCCCGTGTCACTCTGAGCCACAGCCAGCTGGGAGCAGTTGGGCAGCAGGCACAAGAAGGACAAAATAAGGAAGAGAGAGAAATCACTGAGAGGTACAGCGTGTTATTTAACACTGTCATTTTCATATCCAAGTGGGACTCGCCTGCTCAGAGGTTTAATTTGGTTGAACAAAGCTATCTGTAGCAGAGCGAGCGCAGCCTGCTCTGCTCCCCCTCCACTCCAGCCCCGCTTCTCTCCCAACCTGACATTATTAAAGATAAAAGTTGTCTCTCATTTAGCAGTTCTCCTTGAGTGATTTTTATTATGTTCATCTGCATTGTAGTAAACTCCTAAGATAGCCAGATAACAACAGCAGTGCCATGGAAACAGGCAGGAAAAGAGACCAAACGCTGTATTTGTGATGCAGAAATGCCCACGAAGTGGCAAAAGTTGTTAGTGCTGGAGAGGGAATGGTGAGGCTTGAGCCTCAGCTCCTCAACCAGGTTTAGGGAGTGTAGGGAGGCCCAGCTCCCACAGCACAGCATCTCATGACTCCACGGCATCACACCTGGGGAAAGGGACCCTTTGCTGGGGGGTTTCACAGCAGTACTGGGGTCCTTGTCCCTCCAACCCTTTGCTGCAGATCAGGTTAGGTGAGAGGTAGGAGTGCATGTGGGGAGATGTACTGGGATGAATTGCAGGACATACCATGGGATGCACTCCCCAGAGCTGGTGTGGTTGGAATAATTTCCCTCTCACAGCCACTGCTGTGGCCAAATGGCCTGTGAAATTTCAACCTGAGAAACAGCAGTGATATGTGCTCTGGGGAACCAGCAGCCTTGGTGCTCCTGGGGTCACTGTGCTCCTGCTGCTCCTGGAAATACCAGGGTCCTCCTGCCTGCAGGTAGGATCTGTCATCCTGAACCCCCTCCAGCTGGATCAGCCCTCCAGCATTGTGCCTGGCTGTGCAGCACCATGAAGAACTGAGCACTGCTGCCCATCGGTCAGTGCGTAGCCCAGCTCCATACCCAGAGTGGTGCTGACAAGAGCTTGTGAGACGTGGCCTCTCAAGGTCCTTCAGCAGCACTCAGGTCTGGACATGTTTGCGAGGTCAGAGACCTGAGGTATTCCAAGGAAATAAGAGAAACATCTCCTGAGGCCACTTTATGGGCATTGCTTTAATTAGTGCCGTGTTCATCGGCCGCTACCTTAGACCTTTGATTAACAGTGAAGAAAATCAATAACTGCTCTAAAATTTCAGATAAGTTTCACAGCTAATTTTAATTTCACATTTTAATCTTGTATTAATGTCAATCTTAATTACCATAATTAAGTCAGATGTGACTTAGCAAGAGCAGCTTGAAGATAAGACATTAAAGGCAGACGATGCCTTTCTGGTGAGCAGGCGAGTTCGGCTCACCATGATTTGGGTTGCAGCTGGTGCCGGTGAGCCAGGCAGTCCTGCAGGGAGCACAGGGCACCTGCTTCTCTATTACTCCTAGTGTCCCCAGTCTTGCCTGGTTTTGTGCCTGGGGTCTGTCCCCTGCACTGCCAGTGGGACTGTGAAGCCCTTCATTTCTGCTTTGCTCCTGTTCCAGGTGCCTGAACCTCCAGCCACCTCACACCACTGCTCCTCAGCACTCAGGACTGCACGGAGGTGACAGCCCCACTGAGCTGCCCATGTCTGTGCTCCACTTGTCACAGCTGCTGAGATCCATGAGATCCAAACTGCCCGGAAAATCAATCTCTCATTTATTTTCGTGACGGTGATGCAGCAGCCCGATGCTGCTGCGTTTGCTCTGCAGTTGTGCCTATTGATTGCTGCCCACTCTCAGCTCCCTGCACTCGTGGGGCAGGAGCAGCACTGCTGGGGCCTCTGTCCAACCTGGGCATCACCTCCGGAGTCCTCAGACACATCTGCCTGGTGGGAAGCATCCCACATCCTGACCCTGCATCCCCTGAAGCCTCCCAGCACCTCACAGGCAGCTGCTGCCCCCCACAGCAGAGCAGGACAGCTCCAGGGGGGAGATGGGGACAGAGGTGCTGGGAGGACAGACCCCACCAGGGTGCATCCATGACTCCTGGCTCCAGACCCAAAACATGCTGGGGATCCTGCTGAGGATCCCAGGATGGTACAGCTGTTCTGTGGGGCTCCTGTGAGGGCACACAGGGCAGATACAGGGCGCCAGGCTTCTAACCCCAAAAGCCCTCTGTGCACATAGGAGACCAGCCTCCTCCCTGCAGCTTTCTTGGGAAGCTTTCATCCCTCCTCTACAGTGCCCGGGAAGGGGGGTTCAATGGTAGAAGGAAGCGGAAAAATAACCTCAGCTTTAGACTTGGATGCTGAGGTCTCCCATAGTGCAGCTGAAAGGAGCTGTCCCCAGGCTCCGCTGGCTGGGGGCATCGCTGGTGAGTGGCAATATTGTCCCAGGGCAGAAAAGGCCTTTGTTCCTCTGAGATGGCAGAGCCACTCCAGCCTTTGGCTTTGGGAGCTGGCTGCCTCCCTGTTCTGCCTTCCAAACACGGTGCTGAATGGGGGGTTTGAGCCAGAGGCCAGGCTGGGATCCAGCCCCTTTGAGCAAGTGCCAGCAGGCACAGCTGGGGGCCCGCTCAGGAGGGAAGTCCTTGTTCCTTGTCAACAGAAGAAGACTTTGCATGGCTCAAAAATAAGCTCCCTATTGCCCACTGGGATTTGGAGGGGACTGAGGGAAACAAACCTGCTGAGGGGATGGCAGGCAGTGACACCTCTGTGAATTAGGAGGGAAGGGACCCAGCCTGCCTGGGGTGCTGGGTGGCCTGGCCCCCGTGCTGCCCTTGGCAAAGCACCTGGCCAGGGCTGAGGGCTGTGACCCCCAGCATCACCTCTGCACCTCCATCAGTGTCCCTCAGTGATGCAATGTCCCTGTGTGGGTCATTGACCACGGTGCAGCTTTGCCGAGTCCCTGTGTCACATCCCAGAGAGCCATCCCGTCATGGAACAAAGGCTTTCACTCTGCACAGGGATGAAGCCTGTGAGCACCTACCTGAGCCTGTGACACCTTAATTCCCCAGCCATAAATCAGGACATTGTTTTATCCTCTATGCATAATTCATAATTCAGACCTTAATTAACTAAAGCTCCTCGTGGCAGTGCCTGGAGAGGCTCCTACCAGCTCCAGGAACTGCAGCTCTTCCAGCCGCTCCAATCCGTGGCTACTGGGCTCTTTCCCAAGGCAATATTGCTGCTCTGGTTGCCATATCCACATCTCATTGTTGTGCTGTGCTGTGCTGTCCAATATCTTTTAAAGACTTTTTAATTGTGATTTTCAGATTTTCGCTCAGGCAGGATTTGCATCCGGCAAAGCCGGTGGGAGCAGCCAACGGCTGAGCTCCATGGTCAAGCTCCACAGCCCCCCTAAACTGACCATCCCCACAACATCTGGAGAAATCTGCCTTCCACACAGTGCTGGCTGCTGGAAAATACCTGCTCTGGGGAGATTTTCCTACCTTGTCCTCCATTCTCTGCATCCTTTCCAGAATCGGTATTTCTGCCAGGACAGTGCTGGCATTTACTCCTTGCATCCCATACAAATTACAG